AATCCTTTTTACAGCTGGTTGTTACATGTTCTGAACTGGTGTTTCTTTGACTTCAGCCACCCACAGATCATTAGATCTTTTTTTTTTTTCCAGGTTGTGACCTTGGGCGGAATTTGTCACATATCTTGATATTTGAGCTTCTGGTCCTCCAAGGACACAGAAACAAGTGATGGCTTTTGATCTTGGTCATTTCACAACCAAACCATGAGTGAAAAAGGCCTAAAGGCATCTGATATGCAACTATTTCCATTAAAAAACAAAAGCTGACAACATCCTCACACCCAATTACGACTTTGATGTTTGAACTGCATGAAGTTACATCTTCACACAAAGTCCAGATTATCTTGTCAGGCTCCCTGCATTCTTTACAAATGTACTAAGTTCCAGGTTTTTCAGTTTGTCCCATTTTATAGTAGTGGTAGCATTACAGGAATATGAAGTTCTTTATTCTGTCATTCCTTATCCCGCTCAGTCACCTGCTGTGAATACAGACAGTGATGTTTTGGCTGGTTGTTGCTGTTCGTTTGCACATTGGTGCAACATGTAGAACACATGTCTCTTATTTTGAGCTAAATTTACTGTTTCTCTTTTTGCTAGTCTAAAACTAAGTAGCTCCTCCGTGCCCTTTGAGAGCTACTCTGATATTGTGAACTCACCTCGATAAATGCAACATAATACAACAGCTTGCTGTAGCGCAAGAAATGTAGTTATGTGTGTATCAAGGCTGTGTCCATCAAATATTGTAACCTTCTATTGGATGCCAAACTGGGCAGAATACATCAAGACAAGACTGATATAAGACTTCAAGCTTCACGATCTGAACACTCACCTTCTCATTACATATTCATTTCAACTTTGTTGTGATGCAAGCAGTGGGAAACCAAGATCGCTAAACATTTCACCTGCAGAGCCTTCTTGAGGGAAATGTCTGAACAGTTTTATTATTCTAATATGCAGCATTACATCATGATTACATTCTTCTGCTTCAGCTTGTGACCTCACTCTTTCCTGAACTGAAGCATTGTTTGTGTCAGCTGCAGGTCTGCATAACTCGAGTGCACAGCAGGTGTGAGGGAGCCTGTGATCTTACAAATATGGTGAAAAGACTAAACTCACCAACTCTTTAACAACACTTTAAAACGGTTACGAGGGAAGTAAAAGGAAAAGAAAAACTCCCGTCTGCAGTTGCTGTAATACACACCCTTCCTGTCATTCTCCATTGAATTCATCCAGCGTAAAACACAGTTCTGTAAAGAAACTTGTGAAATGTGTTTTCTGAATTTTATAGGACACATTCGCATTATGCAACAAAGTTGTGTTTGGATTACATCACCCGTGCTGCTAAGCAACCTGCCTCCCTGAAGATCTTCAGGCCAGTGGAGCCACATCAATATGTACCTGTATATCTTAGTGTCACGCTCCAGTGGAAAATGTGAGGACCATAAGTTTGAAGGTTTTTTGATGATTACAGCTATATTTCTGTTGGTTTTGACATCTCACAAAGTTTTTTTTTGTAAGCATATGAGTCAACCCTGACTGCTCATGTTCTGTTTCTCGTTACAATATGTGGTAATGGCTTTCACAAAAGATGATAAACAAAGGTTGGAGAAACTATTACAAAGCCACAGTGGAGTCTTTTGTAGTGTGGTTGTGTGGGAATTGTGCAGGGAACCCTTCTAGAGTTCCACTATAAATTATTTTATGAACCTTGATGTTGATTATGCAACCAAGTGGCCAAGAATGGTTCATTAAATAAATGTATTTTCAAAGTCTCTTAGAGATTTAAAGGTGTCCAAACATAACAAACACTGTCAGTCAGGCAGAGTTACAAGGAAATGTGTATAAAAGAATGAACAAAACTTCCAGTGTAATATCTGGTAGTTTCAACAATATTTCAGAGCAAGCCTGAATATGCATATTTTATAGACAGTTGTAACATGTATTATGTGATTTTTTACATGTCAGGGATGAAAAAATCCTTATGATCTGTGATACACTTGAATAATACAGTTGCTTTACTGTGTTTTTCAATGTGCACAATTAAAATAAAGCAACATTTTACAAATAAATAAAGCTTAGTATAAATGCAAATGTAAAGTGTCAATTAAACCTACACCTACAAAAACAAATCCTCCAGGAATCCCTTCTGAATTCTGAAAGCTTCATTGAGGATCTCCTAATTCTAAGAACATACCTGTTTTATTGAACTGTTGTGTGCATACGCACAGATGTGTGTGTATTGAAGTGCGTACACACTTTCCCATGCAAAGGATGGACTTTATCAACTTGTACTTATGCTTATACTGGGGAACGGGCAGGCCAGTCCATAGCATGAATACCTTCATCATGCAGGAACTGCTGACACACTTCAGCCACATGAGGCCGAGCATTGTCATGCATCAGAAGGAACCCAGGGCCCACTGCACCAGCATATGGTCTCACAATGGGTCTGAGGATCTCATCCCGGTACCTAATGGCAGTCAGGGTACCTCTGGCTAGCACATGGTGGGCTGTGCAGCTCTCCAAAGAAATGCCTCCTCACACCATTACTGACCCACCGCCAAACCGGTCATGCTGGAGGAAGTTGCAGGCAGCAGAGCGTTCTCCACGGCGTCTCCAGACTCTGTCACGTCTGTCACATGTGCTCAGTGTGAACCTGCTCTCATCCATGAAGACCACAGGGCACCAATGGCAAATCTGCCAATCTTGGTGTTCTAGGGCAAATGCCAATCGCCCTGCCTCATGTTGGGCTGTAAGCAGAAGCCCCACTGGTGGACGTCAGGCCCTCATACGCCCTCATGGAGTCTGTTTCTGACAGTTAGTGCAGAAACATGCATATTAGTGGCCTGCTGGAGGTCATCCTGCAGGGCTCTGGCAGTGCTCCTCCTGGTCCTCCTTGCACAAAGGAGGAGGTAGCAGTCCTGATGCTGGGTTGTTGCCCTCCTACAGCCCCCTCCACGTCTCCTGGTGTACTGGCCTGTCTCCTGGTATCTATCTGCTATCTTCAGGCTCTGGACACTGTGCTGAGAGACACAGCAAACCTTCTTGCCACAGCTCACATTGATGTGCCATCCTGGATGAGCTGCACTACCTGAGCAACTTCTGTGGGTTGTAGACACCACCTCATGCTACCTCTAGAGCTGAGAGCACTGACAAAATGCAAAAGTGATCAAAACATGAGCCAGAAAGGACGAGAACAGAGACATGGTCTGTGGTCACCACCTGCAGAACCACTCCTTTATAGTGGTTGTCTTGCTGATTGCCTCTCATTTTCACCTGTTGTCTGCTCCATTTGCACAACAGCAGGTGAAATTGATTCACAATATATATCGCGTCCTACCTGGACAGGTTGATTTTGCAGAAGTGTGATTGACTTGGAGTTACATTGTGTTGTTTAGGTGTTCCCTTTATCTTTTTTTTTGAGCAGTGTACATGCACTAGTGGAGCTGTTATTTTGTCTCTTAAATGTAAGTCTGTGCACTCCTCATTGCATTGAACTAGATATACAACATTGCTCAGCTTGTGTGAGGGGTGTTCTTTATTGACTGCAAAGGTTTGTTGTTCTCAGGGTTAAAGGCTTCATCTTATTTAATCCAAGCATATTGCTGGTTATTATGGGCTCATCGCTCAGTTTTTGTTTTGCCACAAAACTTTTGTCCAGAAGGCCTTTTCTTTGTCCATATGATCAGCAGCAAACGTCAGTCGAGTCTTAAGGTTTCGTTCCTAGAGGAAGGTCTCCTTTCTTACATGGCAGCCTCTCAGCCCATGGTGTTGTAAAACTAATTGACTATTTGACACCGACAGCTGTGTTCCATCAGCTTCTAACTCATTGCAGACCTACTTTTTGGTGATTCTTGGTTGACTCTTGACTGTCCTGACCAATTGCCTCTCAGCAGCAGGCGACAACTTGTGTTTTCTTCTTGATAGCGGCAGTGACACAACTGTACCACAAACTTTATACTTTCAAATGATTGTTTGCATAGTTGATTTTGGGATCTGTAGCTGCTTTGAAATGGCTCCAAGTGAGTTTACTGTCTCATTCAAGTATGTGATTTGTTTTTTCAGAATTTTGCTGAACTCCTCAGACTTTCCCACCGTCGTTTGTGGCCGAGTCTAATGAGTGTATCAAATGGGTCTTAGTTGAATTGGCTCAGGGGAGTCAGTAGCTGTAGTTAATTGTGCCGTGCCACTAAGAAAAAAAGTTAAATAACACAACTTCGTGCATCACCAAAACAGATCATTCAGGTTGCATTATGTATATGTTTGACCCAGCAGATTTAGTCAGATTTCCAGAATACCTAAAATAAATCTATGAAAGAACCAAAATGCATGATTGTGTTTTGTGAAAAAAGATGCATGTGTTTCAAAGATTCTGTCAGAAATTTAAGTAACAGAATTCATTCAGAATTTAAGACTGCCGTGATATACATGGTATTTACAAGTGTAAGTGCACTTTGATTCACAACTGTGTATCTGTGACTCCCCGTCATTTACATAAAACCAAAGAGTTGAAATGTATTCAAGAAGAAATTTAGCCACTTGTACTGAAGCTCTTAAGATTACCATGACCTGGATGACTGACAGAGTATGTACTATGACAAGCCAATCTGAATTGGTGAATTTGTGTTCTAAAAAAAAATTAATTGAAGCCCATACAGATATACAACAAAAATGAAGTCACAACTGTTCATATGATCCTGCTGATATCCTTTACTGCTGCAGGTTTTTGTGACTTTCCTAAAACCTAATATTCATGTGTTTCGTAACAGGTGATTTGTTTTCTCAATGTAAGTGTCATTTTTGTTTGGATTCGTAAATGATTTTTAAAAAGGGCAGAGCAGTTTTATTCCAAACAGTCTTGTTTTCATTCATTTGCAATGTTAATGATGATTTTAATCTCTCTTCCTGTATCCCACCCTGCAGATATTTTCTAAAGACAACAAAACTGTCATGCTTCAGGTAGCCTCCCTAGTAAACAAACTCGCATTCGAGCTGCAAAGTAGTTTCACAAGAGCAACATTTATTAAAATCAATTATATTTTTGTTCTCGTGAGTATTGGACATCAGATGTACACAATATACAAATGGTGCGTTTTGTAGCAAATATATTTTCTATAGAGACAGCAGCAGCAGAATTGGCATGTACAAAAATACACATTTGATTTTCTCATACAACACAACATACCAAAGTTACAAGATAATATATTTTATATATATATATATTTATATATATATCTGTATCATAAATATGCAGAACTATACAGGTTGAACACAATTCACTGTAATGAAGATAACAATTATAATATTAATAATACAGGATAAAGTACTTTGTGAAACCATTAAAAAAAATGGCAGCACTAAACATGACAATGGTCTTATTCCAGTGTGTTGTCCTGTCACCGAGTTATATTAGTAATAACACTGTTTAATACTCATTAAAACTGCTCTGACTTTGTGTGTTTACATACTTTTCATGACATTAATAAACAGTGAAATAAGGCCATTTCTTGCAAAGTGTCACCAAAGAAACCAACGCTGCAATAACAGCAGCACGGGAATAAAAAGATCATATTATTATGGACAAAACATACAACAGTTAGAGAGACTGTTTTTAAAATTATGCATTTAACTCAACACACGCATACACAATCACACACACAAGCTGTGTCCTTGTGAGACTTTCTTAATGAGAATAATGAAGTGCTGTAGAAGCAACAATAAAAGAGATTTCTCCCTCAGTGGCACAGGGTTTCTCACATTTTGGCTCAAGACACGCCGTCAATGATCACCTCAAATTCAACATCTCTTTCTTCCTCTCAAAATAAAACACACATACAGACAGATTTTCCTCTTCGTCCAGCCTTCCCTTCCTCCCAGGTCACAGAGATATAAACCAGAGCTGCCGAGGACAACACTGTGTGCTGTGTGTCTGGAAACTCAGCTTATATGAATAAATACCGGCCCCATTGATTCACTGATTCAGACAGAAAAAAACACTGTCTGGAAAAGGAATAGCTCATTTTATAGATGCAGTTGGTCATAAAAGGTACAAACACTGTTAAGACAGTCTAAGATGTTGTTTAAGAAATATGTATGTACAGCGAGGGCGTCTGTCCTTAAGAGTTCTCCTTCTAATAGAGATAAATGCATTTCATAGTATCTGCACAAAGTCATAGCAGTCATTGTGGCCATATTGTTATTACAGCTACAAAGAGGGAGATTAATAAACATTATATAGAGCTTTTTCACCTTCGCTGGCCTCAGAGAGCTTCATAATGGTTTAAAAAATGTGGCCTTGGTTGCATTTGTTTCTGCACACGAAAACTTTAATCAGTAATAGTCTTTCAGTTTTACATGTTTTGCTTTTTCGAAATCTGACTACAAAAATGTGACTCGGCCTTGACTTTCCTACCACTCGTCATGATTTTCTGCCAGCTTTGGGAACGGTAAACTTTATTTTTAAACATTTTGCAAGCTTTACGAGAACAAGAAACAAATGCTTCTTTGTCCTTCCATTTTAATTTGTGGCAAACTTCCTTCAGAATTTCATCACGTGCTGAAAGAGGAACAATACATCCTGGAGGCAAAACGAGGACACGGCAAAAAAATAACAGATTTGTCAGAGAAACCAGATTTTGGCACGAGAGCTGTAACACTGACCCATTTTGACAGTAGCTTCAATGACTGTTTATGGATTCAGATGTTGAAGTAAACCGTTTCTTAACTTCCTTGTCTTGAATTTACTGGAACGGCATCACTGCTTTGTAAATAATTTGAGGACACCAGCTGCTTTACTGCACAGCAATGTCTCTGTCAGATACAGGATAGCACTTGATCTCAACGTTTAAGTCTGCCAGATATCTGTCTTAATATGTAGATTACAAAGAGTTGAACCAATGAACCAGGACGTGCATCTGTACCTTTTAAATCTTAAACCTTAGAAGTACCATTACAGTAATCTGCAACAGGATAAAACTGTATATGGAGGAATATGATCACATCAATAATGAAGACAAGTTGGTTACAAGTGAACATAGCAGATAAGAGCCAGTCTCCCATTTACAGTTGGTCTATACAAAGTTCTTATTTACACATATGACTCTTCTGCAAAAAACAGCTGTTCAAAGTCCTCCAGTCGTGGGTCGCTGCACCGCCTGCTCTGCCACTCTTTCTTTCCCTGCACGATCGCCAATGCCACCTCCTGACTCCTCCGCAGGCAGGTGTCTGCATCCTCCTGACCCTGCGAGGAAAAGTAGTCTCTTACGGCTCGAGTGGCGGAGGGAGAAAGGCAGTAGTGCGGCTTGTTGTTGTTGGGCTCCACGTCTGACACTCGCAGGCCGCCATCTTGGGGCGTTGCTTTAAAAGTACGAGGTCTGTCCAAGGTGAGGCTAGTGGAGGGGTTAGAGTTCGCAGTGACCTTGGCAGGTTCAGATGCTCGGCGGGGAAGAGTCCTCCTCCCTTTGTGGCTGTCCATGGCCGGAGTTAGAGAGTGGGACTTTTGCCTCTGGATTACGAGAGTGGTGGCGCTCTGTCCGTAGAAAACACCCTGTGGGGGCTGCACACACTCACCCCCAGACAGCCTCTGAGTGACCTCAGATTGCGGTTTGGGGTTGTTAGGGGAGGATTGGTTCGGGGATCTGTAGGTGCTGGTCTGGTCATGGAGCTGCCTCAGCTCTCTAACAGTCAGAGGTTTCTCTGTACCTCTGTAGAAAGGTGAGCGGTTGCGCTGCAGCTGCAGTAGAGCCTGCTGGTAGGATGGAGGGCTGCTGGACCTCCGCTGGCAGTTTGGATTCAACACCAAGGACTCCTGGGCAGCGACAGAGTAGCCATTACTAGTTGGGTGTGATTTCCCGTTTACCACTGGCGAGTCCGCCTCTGTGTGCCGACCATCAGCCTGCCTTAGTGACAGGCACCGGTCCTTCTTGAGCCACGTGTTCGGGTGGAGTCCGTGCGAGTTGGAGGGGGTTTGGTTGGTCCGAGCAGACTGGGTGGGCTGCCACTGAGGCAGGGCCTCCCTCTGAGGAGGGGAGTCTCTGGGTGACTGCTGGGGCCGTCCAGGAAAAAGAGGGGAGAGAGGAGCAGTTTCAGTCAATGGCATTGCCCCATTTGTGGCATAGTCAGTTGAGTACTGTGAGAAGGCGGAGTCTAAAGAGCTGAGGGAGGAGCCTGTTGGCGAGGTTGCCGGTGATGACAGACTGGAACAGCTGGCATCTAGTCGCAATGGCGGCGGAGGGGCGTGCTTCATCTTCCTCCGCTCGCCGTTCTGGGTTTTGGTTCCTCTCTTCTCGCAGCCGTCCACTCTTTGTTCCTTCAGTTGCAGCCCGTTGAGCCCCTGCTCCAGAAAGACCTCATCCTCCTCCTCACCTTCCCCCTCCATGGCAGCATCATAGCTCGCCTTCCTCACAGGAAGGTGGCAGTTATCAGCATGAATGGTCACTGCACTTGAAGGCGGCGTGCTGGCCAGGGCTAAGGCGGGCTCTGAGCTCCTCCTCAGCCTCCTGGGGCCCTGCGATGAACCGTTGGTTTGGCGGGTTCGAGGCTGTCGAACCGCCGGACTGAACCTCCTGGGCCTGGCCAGAGGGGGGAGCTGCAGCAGGAGGTCGGTCTCCGGGTCGGGATCGGGATCGCCATCGCTGAGGGTGATGACGGAGTCTCGGCTGCGGCTGTCTGGCTTGTCTTTGTCGCGAAGAGGCAACTGCTCCTGGTAGGGAGACTCAGGGTCATCGTTCAGCTCGTTCTCCAGACTGTCGTAGGACGAGTCATTCATCTGGAAGGACGACACATCTGGGAGCAGAAAGATGGGGAAGAAAGAAGGAGAAGGCGATGGATGAAGATGAGGAAAAAGAAAAAAAAAGAAAAAGGAGAAGAGAGAGAATATTAATATGAGTCTAAACAAGTGGTAGACTGTGAATGTGTCAACAGTTTTTAGGTGGTGGGTGCCTTATTATCTGAAGTGAGACCAAAGAGGACAAATAAAAACCTTGTGATTAGTTTGTGAGAAGCTTAACCACTGATCTGAATGAACCAAGTCAAAGTTCACTGCTGGAGATGAGGAGAACAGAGGACAAAGCATCTTTCTGCTCTGCACTCCTTGACTTTCGGTGGTTAGTTACAGCATGAGGCACAAACTCAGTGGTTCATATGAATGAGGAGATTCAGTGGTGTCCTGATCAGCACCTGTGACCTTTGCAATCATTGAAATTACTGCAGGTCAGTGTGCTGACCCCAATCAACAAGCCTGAAAGAGCCTCTGCTATTCAGCTGCATGCAAACACACAGAGCCAGTCAGCCTCAAACCACGAAGCTTTCACACTGTGAAGCTTTATTAGTAAAACAGATAAAGGATCTTTTTGCAGAGACACAGATTTAAATTATGATTTTAAACTTGACCCTGACCTTCACAATAAACTATAAACCCAGTAGAACATGTTCTGTGTGCAAATCTTTTCTTTTCAGACTGTTTTGTACACTTTTATTCCGCGCACTTGGAAAGAAAATTGAAAACACTCAAAAGCACAGAACTATAAGTTCTTCTGCTGTAATTACAGACTAAACTAACCTGACACGTCCCACATAGACAAATAGAATTATGGGGCTAAAATCAATTTATATGTTTCTTAACTGTGTCTCAGTTTTTTGGAAAAATGATTTTGGACACAAAATATCCCTGTTATGTTACTGACTCAGCCTCTCTCAAGCTTTCATCTCCACAAGTTTATGTAACCGAGCTGAATTATACGCCAGTACAAATGATGTGATGGAGACTGTGCATGCCATTTCGGCGGTTTTAATGGAAATGGAACAGATTTGGGAATCCTGGCTAAGAATTCAGTCCACAGACTTGGCCTCCACATTTTAAACATTTCCATCTATTCTCCTCTGTTCTGCTGACTCTCGGTTCTCACCTGATCCGTGGTCACTGTTGCTGCTCTTTTGGCTGAAGGCTTTGAACAGTGAGGTGACGTCTCCCAGGACACTCATGCAGTTCTCTATGAGGAAGTGAACCAGCTCGCATACCTGCAGACAGAAAACACCAGCCGGTTACATCATATAGTCAGGAATATTTCCAACATATTTACTCTGCTCTGCTGCAGATGGTGACAGTTTGTTTCCATTGTTATGCAGCTGTTTAAAGATGTGTGTTCCTGCAAAGTTTCATTTGTTGTTTCTCAGGAAATCAGTCAGGTTTTAGCAGTAATTTATTTAGTGTTGGCACAACTTGCAGAATAAACCCACAATTTAACACTAGTCTGTGCATTTCCATCACACTCATAGGTATGATGTTTTATGCATTATAACACAGGTGGCTCACAATCAGTGCTAAGAAATCATTTATTTAGAAAAGACTGAAAATGATTCATGCAGTAGAGCTGCCTTTTAATTACAAACACACAGGAGAGCCTTTTTAAGGTGAGGAGTGTTGCACCTGGAACAGCAATTAGATCAATAACCATTGGAACGAGAGAGAAACTTAAAACTATGGAAAATGATGGAAAATAACTGCACACATACAATTCCAAAAAAGAGCTTAAAATAAATAAAAATGCTATTAAAAAAAGCTTACATTTAAGAAGAAAATGTATGAGTACCTCACCGGATACACATTTTAAAATCTAAAATCAGCTAAAACAGCATTGCCGGTCAAAAATATTACAAAACAAATACATAAATAGTTCAGTGGATCAACCATCTATCATTGAGATATCAAATTATATTACAGGCATCTCAATAATTACTATGTACTACAGTCAGACAACTACAGTCTAAAGTATTTACACTGGAAAAAGGAAAGAATGGGTGCATTATCTGCAACCTTGTAAAACAAACTTTTAGGTTCTGGGAAAACACCAGAGAAAACACTGAATGTCCAACAGCTACAAATCATGGATTGTGTTCTTCATTCATTCCATTAGGAACAGGAATATGAAATATTGAGCAGTTTCTTGTATTTCCTAAGAAACAGCCTTCTTCTTAACTCATCTCAAGATCCTAAAATGCTTCTCAGATTTTTCTTTGTCAGTAATAATTTGCTCTTCACGTTCCAACAGAAAATTTGTTTGGTTTATAAATGCGCCTGTACAGTATCATACATTTGTCTCAGTGATCAAATTCTAGTGTCAACTCTGTATTTTATCCTGCTTTTCTCAAACTGGATAGGATAATTAGTCTTAGATTGGTTTGGTCTTTTGCTCTAGAATGCATACACAGTATTTCTGATGAGACAAAGAACAGACTATCACAAGCAGCCAAACTTTCCGCTGAATATTTATCCACAAGCCAATAAACTTTTAAAATGTCACCACCTTTATGACTCATCTATTTTTCAATACCAAATAACCTTCAGTTCCTGATATAAAGTCCATTTCTTTGCAAGTACAACCATATTTATATTTACACTTTGACAAACTGAAGCTAGAGCGTGGCTGCTTAAACTGTAGCTGCTGGCCGCTTCATTTTGCAAAATCGTGACCCAAATAACTTTGTGACATCGGTTTCAAACAGCTGACAAAAACTGGATTTGTTGGCATTTCATATTATCCTCTCGAGAAATGTTTGTGTTCATTTGTTTGCGCTGATATCAACCTTCCAAGAAGCCCCTACAAGAGTATTTGCATTCCACTGTGACTAAGAAAACATCAACTCTGTCATTGCAGTCCTGGATAATGTCCTGATAGTCATGTGACGTCATGCGTTAGCTTTCATTATCACTTGCTCACATGCTTATTGAATGAAAACCACTGGGAACAAACACTGTGGGAGCTGTTGACAGTGGCTTTTATGTATTCTAGGAAAATATATCACATCATATTCTTCATATTTAGCAGCAAACACTTAAAGTCACGTCTGAGAATTCCCAACCTGACCTGTCTGCTGTTTACAACCAGACAAAGTTTAAAACATACCGACAGTATCTTTGCTTTATGAGCACGATTAACCCACTTGGAATCTGCCTTCAAACAAATCACACCAACTTGGCCGTAACCGCCGGCTTTTAAACTAAACAAACGAAATGTACTAAAACATATATGACGTCCCATGACACAAATAGTCGGTGAGCACCAGCGTTGCTCAGAAATGTCGGAGTCTCCTCAACCGTGGAAAGTTTTCACTAAAAATCCTGCCCGTCCTGTTTATGTATGAGTTGTTTTTCCTCCGCCGTCGCTGCGCCTCTGTGACACTATGGAAACACGGCGGAGATAAACACACTCCACGTTTGTTTGTGGGCCAGATGTTGTCTGCTCGCGTGTCTGAATGCTGCCCAAACGCATTTAATGAGTCAGTTCTCAGAAGAAGAGTCTGTCCGTATAAACAGAGTGCAATCAGGCGGCACTCTTGGATGCAATTTTTTACAAAATCTGACAGTGTGGAGAGACTATTTCAATCTGTTTCCAGTAAAGTCAACCTGATGGGGGATTTCAAGCCATTCAGGGATTCTTTTTTTTTTTTTTTTTTTAATCAAAACTACCACTTATGATCCGTTTGTTCACATTTGACCTGACAGAGGAAGAGGACGAACTCTGCAGAAGTTTCATTCAAGCAATCAGGAACAGTTAAGCCCTCGTTTTTCTGTCTCCTCTGCATGTGCACGAAGTCACCTCAAGTGTTAATGACTGTTGAATGAAAGCACACAGGCCACACTTGACTAAATCTTGGCTCTGCTTTCCATATCCTGCAGGGACAGTTCGCTTTTACTTATTCAACAAGCCAATATGAATGCACACCGGTCTGCCCTCATTGCCTCCAACATGGCAGCGGCCACTGACATCAGCAGGTAGATTAAAGCTGCTAAGTTGTTGTTTATGCACACCTTACTACAACTTCTTGTCCATCAGCTTTCATACTCTACTGGAAAAACCAGAAGCATTCGTTCACGGCCATCTCTGCACAATGACCTTCTATTGTCTTGGTCCTGAACAACAATACAACAACTGTTTTATTTGCAACTTGTTAAGTATGTCTGTATCAATAGAAAACGCCACAAAATCAGTGATGCCATCAGTCAGTCAGTTAGGCACAAAATCCACACTTTGCAGATTTAGAGATTTACAGATCAAACTAGGGATGCACGATGATTGGCAGCATCTCAGGGAATTAGCACCTGTCAGGCCAAAATAAAAGTCCAGTTGCTTTTTACACCGCAACTGAGCTCTGACACATACAGCAGAAATGTATTGTCCAAAAATGTTTTTTTTTTTTGTTTTTTTTTGTGTGTTTTTTTTTTTAGGCTACAGTTTTGTTTTTACTCTGATTAAGGTTAAAACAGCAGTTAATACGTTTAAAGAGAAATACTAAAATAAGCTAAAAACTACACTAAACTAATTCCTTCAAATCATCGTATAGAACAATGACCTCCACGATTCCATATGCTCCAGAATGAACATAGAAACCTGTGGTATTTCAGTGAAATGCCAAATAAAAATATCCAAAGTAGAGATGACATACTGATTGCACAACTCACCATATGTTTTTTTTTAAATGTTAATCTTTTTACTTCCTGATTTTCTTTTACTTTCTACTGTTTTCAGCTTTTTCTTTATTTCCTTTTCTCTTCTCATGTGTTTTTCTTCCTACTTCCCTGTCTAAGTCCACTCCTTCTCCTCTGACCTGCCACTCTCTCCTTTATTTGTCTTTGCAGCTGTCCTTCGATCACTTATTCAGCATTCCTGGCCATCACTCAGGTTGAGCTGCTACGTGATACAAAGCACTTGTTGTAGGGAGCCTGTGGGCATCCAGGACAATCTCACTCATCCATCCATCAACAGCCCATTAAGACCTGCCTCTTCTCCTTCTTTAGGATGTTATCTTAGGCTCTTTTAACCACTCAGAAAAACGGGAAATGAATTAACCGAATGCTATAAATCATTCATAACATATTTGTCTGCTGCGTGCATACGAGTTGAGCGTGCAGCACTGCAGGGCATGGAGCAGATCTGCACGTAGGCGAGGGTGTGTACCTGCCTTAAAGCAGCATTGTGCAGCACCTTTACCTTAAAATAACAGGTTCAACATCATTTTGATGGTGCACAGGCTTGTAATGTGGTGAATGACTCCTCTTTTATTTCTTGCCCACATCTCAAACTCCTAATTTTGCTCAAGTTACTGGGGTGAACTGGTTCCATTTGCTGGGTGAAGTGTGGAATGCTTCTCCTTCACAAATCACTTCAGTTAGCTTAAGGTAGTGCACCATTCTGAGTATGCACATCTTATTAGAGGCAAAGACACTAAAGAGAGCAAAGACAGAGAAGGCTAAGAACAAAAAAGAGGTCAGACAAGACTCTCAGACGGTCTTTTAGTGTTTGGCGAGAGCTTTGCAAAATAAAAAGACAAGCCAGACTGCAAGACAAACAACAACCTGGTGTTCTTGCTGTTGGAGTAGTAAGGAATAATAACATGTCAACAAATGCATGTGTACAGCTGTCAGTGTGGGGGTCAGGGGTCAAGGACCGATTTATATTTACGACAGTGGCATAAAAGTGAATTGTGTTCCAAAACTGTAGCGGCATTCAGTTGTAAGAAATACCAGTTCCTGCATAACAAGGCTGTAAAAGATATCACTTCCATGTGTTTGTGGGTCATTTAGATCCAAGCAATAGCATCAATATCATTTGCAATCTTACTTTACTCAACAGTTTGTGCAATATTAGTTTCAGTATCATGTGTAACATTTCATTTTCACGTGAAATAGTTTGATCTCGTGTGCAAATTTATATGTTCGTGCACAAAATGTCACTGTAACGTGCAATGTTTAATTCTCATGTGTGATATTTCCTCAGTACAAGTCCCAACATTCCTTTTTGCTTTTCTATTCTGTCCTCATTTTAGCCAATTTATTTTATTTTAGCAATGTGTTGTACTTATACTTTTTAACTTTATAGGCACTGCATTTCATAAACCATGTCATTCGTTTTTTGTTTTTTGTTTTTTTAGCAATATCTGGCATAGCAGTTTCTTTCGAGATTAATAAAGTTTTATTTTATCTTGTTTCTGAGTGTTTCAATCTGTCAATCACTTTTCTGCACTATTTCTTACTACAACGCAGAAAAGTCACTGTAAAGTTGAAGTTTTGTCCATATTTCCAAGCGTGAGAGAAAAACAACTTTGAATGATTCGTCTCTCTGTCTCCATTTTAAGTTACACACAAGCTGCATTTAGCTCCTAAACAGCTATGTTCAGCCAAAAACATTTAAATTACATGCTGCATGAAAGAGAGAAGGACACAGAGAATAAACTGGACTGGCAAAAACCTGAGCGTTTATGTGTCTCCAGACAAGGCTGGAATCTGGCCATTACACAGTCAGGGGCCCACACTGATCTAAATTGGCCCCTGGCTCCGACCGCAAGGTGGGAAATGTCGAAATCTCACTTTGTTTTTTTTTCAGATTTTCTTCCCAGAAAAAGGTCGCCTGTGCTCAGAATGAACACACAAACACGTAGTGTGTGAGGGGGAAGTGTGTTATCAGGGGAGTATTTGTGAAACAGATATTTGGGTAGTTGTGCTGTGTGTGTGTGTGTGTGTGTGTGGTGTGTATGTGTGTGGGTGTGTGTGTGTGTGTGTAAAGAGAGAAAGAAAGGAGTGTTTCAGCGACAATTTTCCAGAAAACACACACTTGGCCTCAGGATTCTGTAGGAAATTCTTTGCATGTTTTCTCAATGAACCTCAACCACTTTAAGATACACACACACACATTTGTAAAGATAAGCAAACCAGCCACCCACTGAGACTGTATGTAACCCAATAACTGTAACTTTCCACACAGACCACAAATCAAAAAGCTTTGTATGCTTGATATTTCAGTGACTACATGATGGGCTCTGGTGGGCCGGGGGGCTTCCACTGTGGGCTCTGGCTGCAGCTACTGCTGGACAATTACGCCTGGCTTGCAAAGATATGACTGCAAAACAGTGAGCAGCATCTCTCTGCTGACTTCACTTGAAATTTACCATAAAAACCATAAAATTTAGAGAAATGTATTGACCACAAGAAGATCACTGCAAACTCCCTTCACCCTCTGAACCCCAAAACCTGCTGACAGGATTAAAAGAGAGGATATCTTTAAAAAAAACAAACAAAAAAAAAAGGCAGTTCCGTTGGGAATATTATCCAAATCTAAGCTTAAAATTGTGACATTTCATCAAATTGCCCTGTGATAGACTGGCGACCTGTCTGTGTGTAGGTAATGGATGGATGGATGGATGGATGGATGGATGGATGGATGGATGGATGGATAAATGGATGGATGGATGGATAAATGGTTGGATGGATGGATGGATGGATGGACGGACTTCATGTGTCTTAATTTAAAAAATGCCAAAAACAAACAGTTTTCATTTGTCAGAGTCTGTGAAAACAAAAAAATTGTCCTTCTTTGGTGCAACCAAGATGCCATTAGTGACTGACAGTCGCATGACCATATTTCAGGGACTTTCAACTGAACTACAGGTCATGTTTTCACAGAACGGAGCAGGAGGAAAGTACGGGAACAAATTGAAAATAAAATAAAAAAATAAATAAATAAAAAATAAATCGTAAAATATCGATAGTATGCAGAGTTTTCATATTTTCCAGTGACACATGTGGGCATTTAGAAAAAGGCTGTACATGTTGCTTCAGATGAATGCATTCTGACTTTGTCACACTAAACACAACATACTGAGAGTTCTCTCTACTTCTAGACATTGATGTGTTGTTTCATTATAAGCGCAGGACGTTATATTGCAGAGGAACATGACAACACAGTGAGTAAAAATGTTACAGAAGCTGCTTGTGGTTCAGAGAGTTCAAACAGTGTTAAAAAATGCCCTGAAAAGTTGAGTGAATCCAACTAAAACCATTTGTACAGCTAGATAGCACCTGTGTGTTGTGAAATTTGGGAGCATTAAGCCTTAATTGGTTATTTTTTGCTCAGCCTGGACTGAACTCTGAGGCTTTCTTCTTTCCTGTCAAGTCTTGCTCTAAGCTCAGGGATTCACGCTGAGCCTGTTGTGATCTGAGCTTATGAGTATCTGTCAGCGATGACAAGTGAACGTGACTGAGTGTGTTGCTGCTGAGCGTTACTAGGTCAAACGCTGCTCGGAGGTCAGCGCTCACATCCACAGCGAAACCCTCAGTCTGCTGACAAACTGCTGAGATTCTGTGTCCATGTGACCATTGGTAAAACCTCTATGCCTTACCTGCCAGTCAAACTCAGGTATGTCTGTCTGCTCACACATACAGCAGAGCAGCAAACACACACTCCCGCGAAAGCAGTTTGCTTCTATTATTCCACGGAAATGTTAAATTCCTCAGAGTTCGAATGCTGCCTCAGCAAGCCTCTCTCTGCACTCACACAAGCCTACTCATGTGCACCTGCAGTGCGTTCAGTTTGACATTTCGGGAAATACGTTTTCCTGCTGTCTTGCCAAGAGTGAGAGGATGAGATCAATACCGCTCTGATGTCTATACACTCAAGCTGGAGCCGGCACACGGACGGCTTAAAGCATAAAGACAGGAAACAAGGGAGCCTGCCTCTGTCTGAAGGTAACCAGATCTACCTACAAGCAGCTTTAAAGCTCACTCATTTCCACTTTATACCTTGTTTGTTTAATCTGTACAAAAATCAAAGTCTAAATGTTGAAATTTGTGGTTTTAGAAGTGGTGTGAAGGAATATTTCTTGTCCTTAAACAGACAACCTCCTGATGATAAGAGATACTAAGATGCTTTAGATGAATACATACAATGGAATCTATCTTTTTACTGCCTACACCTATAACACACATGCAGGCGCAACTTGACAGCAAGCTCTCATTTTGGGATTGTTGCATCTTTTGGGACCGAGCTTAGCGCTGTGAAAAGTTTGTATAATACAGGTAAGTTAGCATCTACAGCCGACTCTGAAGCTACTAAGCAACCATCAGCTGATGGTGGCAAATCAATGCACGACAAAAGTGATCAAGACTCATGGAAGCGAAGAAATTGGTGGCTCCACATAATACAGATATTTTGCTTTTTACATTTATGATTAGTTTCCATACTTGTCTCCTATTCGCTCACAGCCTGCAAGAAAGTGAATAAGCATTCCCCAGCATGTCAATTCATCCATTTGCCACGTCAGCAAGCTTAATTAGCCAGGAACGTTTGTGTCTGACCTTTTTTGTGGCCTCCCCTTCCATCTCAGGGCTGCTTGGCGCCGGAGCCCAAAGCATGCTGGGAGCAATGCAAACGGACAGGTTGAAGGCGTTCATCTGGTTGTCGTGGGCGTTTCCCTGAATGCAGTGCAGCACGGCGACGACGTGACGCAGCAGCAGCAGATTCTCGGTGGGCAGAAGGTGCAGCAACCTGCAAGAGAAGAAATAAGTTCAGAAAGTAAGAATGACGAGAGGGCAACAAACATAAAACGTGTCATCAAATATCAGTGCTGCTCCTTGTTTTCACTAAAGGGTTGTGTTGCCATGTTGGTGGCTGATTTCAGGTAACGCAGGAATTCCTCCACAAACTGTTTGCTTTTATTTTTTATTTTCCTAAGCAAAAGGAATTCAGTTTGTTGTTCCTGGAGCTGAAGTAATGATTTCTGTCTGTCTTTCTTTCTCTCTCTAGACATAAACAGAGCGTAATTAATGGAAAAGTCGACAGAGTGTAAGGTGTCGGTGCACCACAAGCCACCAGAACGCTCATTCATCCGAGTCTTTCCTTTAATTTGTCACCCATCTGTGTAACAAACATCTGTATGATTTATTGTGTCTTTGTGTTTACTTGTAGGACAGTGACAGCTAGAATTAGCACGAAGATTTTTGCCTTAAATATGATGCATTTTAGGCTTTGAAGTTCTTACCTCTGGACAGCCAACATCTTCTCCTCCCCAGCTTCGCCCTCCATCACATCCATCCACTGCTCATACAGATCCACACTCAGGATGCTGCCCGGGATGTTTCGCAGGAAATCCTGCATGAAAAAATGTGATTAATTGTTTTTTTTTTTTTTTTTTAAAGGAGTCAAGCTTTAATATGCTGTATCAAAAAACAGCCTTATGTATTCATGATAGTTGTTCAGTTAACTGACTCATTCGTCATGTGATTCTTGCTAACTGACATTATCTTTGTTTAAGTGTATTATTTAGGTCGGACTGTATATGTTTTTTGTTTCGCTCTCAAAAAGGAGATCTTGACCTCAATAAGCCAGCTCTGGGTTCCTCTTTTAGATTACAAAATGCAAAAACAAAGCAACTTCAGAACATACAAAGTAATATCTGTACACTGTCTTCACTGCTGGCTTGCTGCGTGCTTTTTTCATGCAGCATTTTAGTTTCATAGATATTAAATAAAGAATTCAATCAGTGCCACGGAAATTATGTCATCTGACACATGAAACACCTTAAGGAATTAACAGAAATAGTAACCTATTTAATAAGGTCAAAAGGTAAAATACCACACTGTCACAACCATATAGAGACAAAATGGAAACAAGAGCAACGATACAAATTTAAAGTGTATCCTAAATGGGACTGTTCACATAACAAATAAATGAAATCTGTTGGCATCAGTATTATAGTCTCTATAGAAGTTCTGTACCTCTATGGAAACAGCACAAACATGACGAGAGGTAGAGATAACTCAACAATGTATTTTGTAACCAAACTATAATGCCATCAACCATAAAAAAAAGGGAAAAAACCAAAAACAAATCGTTGAATTTCTTTGATTGTACAACATGTACAGCATTTTTCTAAGCGCCCACATGTGTTCAAATACTGTGGAAAAACTGGTCGCTCTACATACCACTTACATTTTAAATTTCCTTCCATACTTCCATACTGCAGCTAAGCTGAAAAGTCCTTGAATTTTTGTGACTCTTGGTTGCAGATGAGTCACACAAGTTTGTGTTTTTGCAGAATCTGGTTGCTGTAATGGTTTATTTAAGGATTATTTTAAAATAAGACATATACAATGAAATGATTTTAATAAAATATCACGATTTTAGGCTGAAATTTGGTTAACTTTCCTGATAGACTGGCACTTCACGGATGAGTAGGAATGTCTGAAAGTTTTAAAATCCAATTATTCATGTTTGTACAGTTTCTGTCTCTGCTAAATAGTGTAATTTTGGCAATTTTTATTTATTTTTTTTACGGATAACTTCCCTTTCAAACCCAGTGGCAGGTTTGGGGACTCAGATAGGTAATGGTGAAAAACAATCAACAGCGCTATTTATATCTCAGGTGATGCACAATCCCTGTGTGGCCAACAGGTGAAGCACAACAAACTAGGGAGATAAATCGTCTCTGTGAAAAGAAAACACCTGAGCAGCTCCCTGGATGCCTGACACTGCAGCGGCTGTTTGGCCAGGATCCTGAACAATGCTGCACCTTGTGTGTACGACTGGCCGCCTGCCTGGCTGTGCACAGACAGATTATCCTGTCTGGACTTAGATGACTTTGGACGCACATCAGTCACGCCTGCTTTTCTGTTGTCTGGTTTCAAATGAGTGGGACGTGCATGTGGCGGTCCGGTGTTTTACCTTGAGGACGGCAGCGATGACGAACACAGACTGGTGTGTGATCTCCGGGTCTTCACTTCCGCTGTCCAATCTGTCTCGAAGCTCCCGGCAGGCCTTCGCTCCAGCCGACCGCCTGAAGACGCCTCGAGTGTACGGCCCCTCCAGGTACAGAAACACCAGCATGTCCTTGAGGGAACAGGGAAATGGGATGTTAATGACAGAAAACCTCTTCAAGTTTTGTTTTTAATCACCATTCTGAATGGAACTAAGGATTTTAAGCTCTGAGAAATTAGCTCAGAAACAGCCACTGATGGCAAAAAACATTTAATGTCTCATTCCAAAAACAGTTTCATTAAAATCAAAACTTTGGTTAATTTCCCAAACAAAATGGCACTTAATTGGTCAGAAATCCAGTTAGAATTAAAGTTACATTTCAAATAAAAACAAAAAAAATCAATCAACAATGAGAGTTAAGTAAATTTGTCTTTCTCCTGCTTTGCTGTTTGGTTTCTTTTTGATTCACCACCTCCTAAAACCAGATTTTCATTTGTGCCGACAGCATGAAATCGCCTGAATTACTTTGTTCCTCCTGAAAAATGTGTGTAATTCATGTGGATTAGTTTCAATAAACCTGTAAAGCAATGTGGTTTAATAAATATTGTGACTCCTGGAGCAAGCTAACTGGTTCAACTGAAACTAGACAACGAAGATGTCAAACATTTTAACTGGCAAGATTGAAAAATCTAATGTTTTGGTTCGTTTCAGCAGCGGAATCTTGATTCCTCATTCAACAGATGGGGTTTCATTTTTCTAGTAATCTCATCTCATAATTCCCATTATGTCTTTATTTGTATAGTTTACAAGTCAAACTATTCATCTGAGAGGTGCAATACAGTCTGGTATGAGCAGGTGGTGAATGTCAATAATTCACAGAACAGTAGTGTAACAGTAAAAGTAACAAGTGATATGCCACATCAGAGAAAGGCTCCCAGACATTGCTTTCTAAAAATACCACCCCATCCCACAGTCAAACCCAATTCTGTGACCCCTGAACCGGGGTCCTGACCCCTCCTGCTGGCCTACGTGACCTCCGCCCCGGCTCACCATGACAGGCTTGGGTAGGCCGCCCTCCGGAGAGCAGACGGAGCTCAGGGGTCGACCGAACAGGCGTCCCTGAGGGGGGGACAGCACGGACGGGGACAGCGGCAGGCCGTCCAGCTGTGTGCTGGAGCCTCTCCAGAAAGGCCAGTTGATCAGAGACCTCTTTCTCTTGAAGGACTTCTGCTGACCAGGCTCTGTGGGGAGAGAAAAGAGGAAGAGGTGAGCTGTGGTTTCCGATAGAATCTGGCTGCTGCCGGTTGAGAAATGCATGTTGAATTCACCGCAGCACGCTCTGTTATATAACGCACCTCCAGCAAAACAAAGTGCTTTGTTCACCAAATTGCAAAAGTGCAGCCTCAGTAACAGTTTGCAATATTTATTTACTTGTGTTGTGACTTATTAAACAGCCACAAAAGTTTCAGATGTTTTTTAATCATGCACATGCAACATAACAGCACTTGCAGCTGAAATTATCCACTGGTCTGTCCGCTGCATTTTGGCCAAATAATCACAGCTTACGGAAGTTTCATGAGGGATGTTTTCACAGAAAGCTAGAACAAGAAAGAACCACTGAGTAGGTGTTTGAGGTAAATGTGTGCAGACGTGTTCATGCTTGAAAGCACCGTTTAATTTGAGGTTTATGTGTAAATGTCGGTGTCTCTGTGTATCCATGCATGTGTCTGAAAGAACATATGGGATCTTGTGTGTGTCTCTGAAGGCTTCTGACAGTGTGTTCAGTGCTGCAAAGTCACCATGTGCACCTGTGTTGTTTGGCTGCATGTCTGTCTTCACCTTCTATGACATAACAGCTCAGTGCGTCTCTGCAATTATGCAGCTGCATACTGCATGTGCACTGAAGTGCCACTTAAAAAGAATATATGGCAAACATTTTTACTCAAATTTAAACGCAAAACGATAGTTTGTCTTCATGAGACACTGAAAATAAGGAACTGATTTTGAAAACACTCCTGCAGGGGGACTTCCTAGTTCAAACACTTGCTATGGAATAGTGCTGCACATAGTAAGTCAGTTACCTGATCAGTTGATGGACAAAATTAAAGTGGCTGACAGCTATTTTGATAATTGGTGAATGATTAAGGTAACTTATTGCTAAATGTTAGTGGGTTTCAGTGTCTGAAATGTGACGCGCTTCTTCTCTCAGTTTCGATCATAAAAATACCTTTTGATGTTTCGCCTTGGAGCTTCTAATAGACATAATGAGTAATCAAATAAAAACTAATCTTGGTTAGTATGAGTAAAATGCTTCGTGGATAAACTGATAATGAAAATAATCATTAATTGCTGCCTCTCATCTCTAATGACGGGTATGAACTGGCAAAACCTGCTAACGCTGCAATAAATCTTTTAAAGGGCCATTGTAGTGAAACATAGCCTTTGCAACTCTGAACTGCCAACAATCTTGAAATGATAACATTTATGTTATTACGCGGTTGTGATTTGTATCCAAGGGTGGGACTCTCCTAACAAACGAAAGATTCTTTGGAAGGGTGGAGGACCTGGCGGCCCCAAAAGGCCCCACGAAAATACATGGCATACCTCACATAGAATTCATTATTTAACAATCTGCTGTGGCGTCATGCCCAAACACACTCTGGAACAAAGTTCAGCGCTAACAGAATTACTATCCTGCTCTGGCACTTCTCAGCAAGGTCTCACCATCGTCGGAAAAAAACAAAACAAAACACAACCTCGCTGTAAATCAGGTGTTACATCATTCCAGCTTTCTAGGCAGGGAGTAGTTCTAGAGAGGCGACGGGGGGGAATGAGGTATCAGAGACAGACTGCTTGTCGAGTGGGTGGGCAACATCTGTCATCTTACTGTAATCTTCTACTAGGTGTTATAAAACAGGTGGTAGATGGAGTATTTCTCCTCAGGGGTAATAAAACAAGACTCCAGGCAGAAGTTTAGATGAACCAGTGATTAACTTTCATACAGCTACCTAAAGCAGCAGTCTTTCTCTAACCACAACCAATGTTTTAACTTAAACTACAATCTGACAAAGTTGCTGAAACATTTTTGTCATTCGTTTTTCAGTCCAGTTCTTCACTGAATATAAACAAAATGATGTGTCCCAGAGCATAGAGACCCACAACATAGTAGAAAAGACCTTGTTTTTATTCCTGTCCTCATAGATTAGAAAGTGTGTCGCTGAATGAGCTGTTCAGGTTTGCACTTTGTTTGAAACATGTAATAATGTGCAGTAATTTGGGTTGAAACTTCAAATATATACTCTTGGGACATGCAAGACTTGCACTCACTTCTCAAAAGATAATAAATGATGGGGCTAGGGATGGGCTGATTAAGGAAATGTTTAACTGATCAGTATCAGCACAAAACTAAGCCTGGTCCTTTGTTTTTGTGTCATAAATGTAACTCATTTGCTTAATAAATGCAGCTATCATTTGATAAATTATAAATTATAATACAATTAGAGAATGCCGTACTTTCCTCCTGTACTGATATTGCTGTATGGATACATGGCACAGGCCACAAAGCTCAGCGTTACATATGTTACAGGGACCTGAAAACGCTATCCTTGATTGAACCCATGTGGGCTCGCTGGAGGTCTTTACGCAGCACAGAAGACTTGTCATGGTGTCCCTTTACGAGCTAAACTCTTAAAATGCTTTCTGCTTCCCAATGGGAAACTGCCCACCTCCTCAGTCGCTACAATGTGGGACAACATGGGGCCTTTAATGTACGAACACTGCAGCGCCGTCTTTCCAGAGGATCAAGATGAACCATCTGGGCTATTTGATGGTATATTAATGTGGAGGATGAGGTCAGTGGTGGTTATAAAAAGCTTCGACAAGCAGACTTTTAGCCACTGCCGGGGGTCAACAAGTCAGTATTATGGCTAAAGCTGCAGAGACAAGACTTCTTGCTACAGTTGAGTGCATGGCCCTTTCTTGGCTTTGAATTTCTGGCATGATTTTAGATTCTGAGCGATGCAGGGTTGAACCTTTGTGTTTTTTGGTACCAGTTCAAACGTTTCAGTGTACAATTACATCTGTGTGTGCAGTAGCTCATGTTTGACAGTTTTTGTTACCTCAAAACTGCCATGATCGATATGAACTGAAAATCACGTCTAAAAAGCTACAAATTAACACAAATTGGACATTCGGGACATGTTACAATGGACAAGTGCAATTAAGGAAAGGTCCGTCAAGTTTTCTTTCACATACACCAATTAGTTTTCAACATCCAAAGCTGAACTGCCTGCAGGATTGTTTGGGAATAAATGTCTGAAAAGGGGCTTCTGTCATGGTTACCATCCAATAAACACATACATTCATTAGTTTTCGGGTTTGGTGTGAGCAATTAGGCCTCTATGGCGGCAGGGCTGGTACGGAGGGATTCTGTAAGAAGCTGTTATGCTTAAAGCAAAAGAATCTGTGGTGAAGCTTGTGGTTGGCAAACTGGAGCCTCCTTGACTGGAAAACACACACTTTTTCTCCTCAGCTTGTTTTCCTCTAAACCTCATCTCCTCCTTTTTTCCATCCCGGCCTCTGTATCCGCAGTTAGCCCTCACTCCTGTCCACCGTCATCTTGTTTTTCTTTCTCCTCCTCCTCCTCATTTCTCGCTCCTGAGGTCCCCTTTTCAGTCTCTCCCTCGGTAAATTCCTCTTTCTGTATCGGCCACAGTCGGTTGTTTCTTTTTCCTTCACCTCCACTGGCCTCCAGACTTACTCAATAGCTGTGTCATCTCTTTTCCTCTCTCCATCTTCCTATTCTCACACTCATCCGTCCCTTCAGGGGTTTCTTCCTCTTTGTCTGTCTGATGTTTTTCTTATTTTGATACCGCCGTCTGTCCTAACCCCTGCTGTAACCCCTCATCCGTTGAAATCTCCTTTCCCACCGTTCTCACTGACTCCTTCTCCTCTCCTTCACCTATTGATTCATCCTCAGGACTCACTGTGAGTCTGTGAGGGTCTAACCAAAAGCAAAATGGTTTATGTAAGTGAAACAAATTCTAGGAAGCACTCTCTGTTCTGCATTAATCCTTTGCATCCTCATATTTCTTCGGGCGGTTTCATAGAGAATTAGATTTATGGATGGATTCCTGACACTGACCAACCATGTACTTAGAAACCCCAACTGCCATGTTAATGAAAAAAAAAACGATATTGCTCACAGCTCTTTTTCACAACACATAGTTCACTGTTTGTATTTTATGATCTTGTTTTTTCACACTTTTACACTTAATTTCGTGTTATTATTATACGACTTGGGTTTATGGAACACACATTGAGGCTCCATTTCCTCCATAAATAAATGTATTTTGTCCAAACTAACCAAAAAACAAAAAGAATGAGTCTTCACCAGGGCAGATGTTAACGTTAAAAGAATGACCAGAACAACATGCCATGCTTGTGTTTCTCATATTACAGATTTTCTTTGTCCAGAAGTCCTCTCAAGCTGTTGCCTCACAGATATTTGACAACAAAGTAAACCTTACCTATAAGCTGACTGTGTCCGGGGACGACCTTGTTGGGTTTGAGGATAAACTGGCACTGGGTGTCTGGAGGGAGACACTGGTCCAGCAGCAACACCTCTGGACAGTCTGTAGGACTGAGTGGATCCCTCCCTACCACTCCTCCTCCACCACCATTACTCCCCCCATCACGAATGTGGCTCATCTTAATGCTGAAGGGGAACTCGTGGCCTGAAGGAAAAAGGTCAGAGTGCAGAGGTGAGAGGGGCAGCGGCTGGTATGTGCAGTCTGTGCATGTGACGCGAGGCCAAAGCACGACAAAAATTAGTGCAGAGCTGCAACAGTGAATCATAAACACTGAATTGCGATGTTAGGAATTTGGTGTGAACTAAACAACAAAAGATTGGGGTAGCAGAATGGCACAGAAATACCACTGTTACAAAAAACAACTAACTGCTCTGAAATGCTCCCAGATGCTGAGTGTTTGATGTAACGCTGATGCTAGCACAGAAGTGACGCCCCACTGTTGGTATTGGCTGCACTGGTACTGCCTTGTTTTTCAAAATATTCATTGTGGGAGGAAGGATTTTTTGCTTCATTTTAATGAATTTATGAAGGATTTAATTGAAAGCACACAGTTTCTTGCACATAATGTCTGGAACTTAACCTAATTCTTAACTCACACCATTGTTGAAGCACTTTTAAAATATTTTAAACTGTATTTTATCAGCGTTTTTATACATGGTAATGACTGTGAAGACTCACCGATGAGAGGGTACGGAGGGTCATCCTTACTGGAGCTCACCCATAACCGGTGGTCTTTAACACAACCCTAGACAGAAAAAAAGAGATTTAACATGTTTATTTTACATTTTATGCTACTTTTCTGCTTCTTTCACATGTCAATGCATCTTTGTGAATGCATGTCTCTGGTGTAAAAAAAAAACTCTACAAAGTAAAGACTGGTTTGAAACTGCAAATGCTATGCTTCACTTCAGCCATTTTTATCTACAATATAACCATACATGCTATTTAAAAGCTACATTTCCCACTACCAAGTGGCCTTCTTTCATAAAACTGAGCATCAACAGCACTCTTTGGCTACTTACTGATATGCCAAACTGCAGCAGAGCCATGCGGATGACATCAGTGGTGCTGTCAGTGTTGCTGACCGCGAGTGTCTTGGCCTGGTGGAACCATTACGGGAAAACATTATGGAAATGGTTAGTTGTTTGTGTGTTACATAAATTTAAGTACAGCTAGTGATGCTAGAAATTTCCCAAATAACCTTTTTTTGTGCTTAGAGAAGCAAGAAAAATCACAGGAGAGAAAAAAGAAAATCTTACATAAGCACAATTTCCAATATCCTTTGCAAATATCTTCAGAGGGATGGTCTTGGGGTCGTCCTTCTCTTTTCCCTCATTTATCCGACTGAGTGTGTTGGAGGGGAAACGAAGGATGGAAGTTAGTGTTAAAACAACAACAACATTTTAGTACAAGTTAAAATCATTTGGCCAGTCTAGCACTGTGATAGAGTTGGAGATAGTGCCAAAATTTAAAGCACTGTAATGTAAGTACGAAGTATGTTTTCTGCAGCAACGCCTTGACGAGGTTATACTAAACATAGTGGTTAAGAACTTCTAAATTCTTCTCATAATTACTGTCAGATCTATTATTTTCTATTTATATACACTTATTTTAATCTCATGTGCATCTAATTCTTTTCGCCCCAAATGGTAATTTTGATTTGCAAGACGTCTCACAAGTTAAAAACCACCTTTTGTGGACACAGAAGCAGGAAGCATAACCAACAAGTTACCTGTTGATGAGCGCCAACCACTTGTCCTTGTGCTCTTCGGAGCTGTAAATGTAAGGAAAGAAAGTGATAATCAGGAAAAAAATAAAAAAACATCTGCCTGTTTTGCTCTGTTATGTAACTCCTGCCAGCTAACACCGCAAATTTCACCCGCAGCTATGACTGGATTCCTGCTGGAAAATATAATGGGTGTGTGTCAATCAGTGTAAATGTGCGCATGTCATTAAAGCAGGTGCAAATATACAGCAGGGCTTGTACTGTATGAACACATTTGTGTGTGTGTGTTGCATGTTGGTGCCTGCTGTGTGTCTGTGGTTATCTACCATAAGTTTTACTGACGTTCGGCTGAGTGGCTTTACAAGTGGGAACTGCCTTCACGCTTCAGGGTTTATGATTCTGTGGCTGTGTGTTCAGTTTTTAGTCTCTTTCTGTAATGTGCATCTGCACCTCAGAACACAATGTACTCTTTCAGAAATATACCCAAAAGACTGAAAAAAGGCATTTTGGAAATATGTTTAGTGGGCTGGCCATGAGTAACTGTAAGGCAATGCAAGTAGAGTCACTAAGTGAAGATATATAAGGAACATTAAATCCCTCTAAAGAAACCGCACAAGAACAGAGAAAAAAAAGTCCAAATATGATTGATTTTTTTATGCCTTACATTTTTGGTTTGTTTCTGTTCTTGTTTCCGGTCTGTTCTGTGTAAAGACTGCCTGTAGTTCAGCCCAGTTTCGAAAGAAAGTCCCTGAATTTTTGCCATGACTGTTGTATGCAGCTAAGTCAGTAATAACTTTACTGTTTTTCACATTTTCACATGAGACTTTTGTGGAAATAGCACAATTTTAAGCCTACATTTGGTTAGTTTCCCCAAGAAAACAAAAAGTCACACATGATGAGTTTAAAGATCATCGGAAAGTTGAACATCCAATGACTCTGTTTTCTGTTTTCACACTTTCTGGCTCTGGTAAATGATATAATTATAGTGATGTTCTTAAAGGTTTTGGGGTTCAGAGGTTAATCCAAGAAATAAAATCTAGAAAAACAAAATCCCGGCATTCCTCTTCTTGAAAGTGAACAATTTTGCTGGACTGTGTGTGAATGCGTACCTGAAGGTGCCCACATAGTTGCAGGTGGGCCATCCCATAACGAAGCTCCTCTCTAGGTTCGTGCTTCCTTCACACACCTCATCCATACAGTTCGCCGTCCACATCTCACATACCCGGACTTGAGCCTTCACTTTGAAATGAGTCGGAGACCTGCAGTGAAAACACAAAACAGTGTGCTATATTACTAGTCCACATGGACTGATAAGATGTCTCCAAATCAAGCATTTTCCTGAACTAAAAACTCACATTTGTTTTCAGAATTGCTTCATTTTTCTATCCAGTGGCTAATCAATTGATCAACGTGTCATTTTTGCTCTGTACAATACGGAATAATAACTTTATAATGAAGTGCTTCAAGGCATTCCACAAGGAATGTGTTGGGGTAAATTTGGACTCAGTTTTCTTTAAATAATCTACTTCCATAAGCTGCAGACATATGGCAATCTTTAAAAAAAAAACCTAATATAGAAGCAAAATATTAAAAGATTCAGCTATTTTCAGAGGTTAAACACAGGCACGCTCAGCAGACGTGTACTTATTTGCCCCAACATCTGTAATTACGGTGGGAGAAGATCCAAACGCACACATTTGGCGCACAAACGCACCCTCTCTGCTATTATATGGATATAGAGGCATACAAGCACACATCATTGAACTGCTTTTCCCTCTTGCTGTTGCTTTCCTTCAAACACACACATACCAACACACATTCCTCCAACTCGCCCACAATGTATTAAAGCCAATTATAGCGTATACTCTCTGCGCTGGAAGGGTCAGCTCCACCCACCGGCACATGACTCCCAGGACGGACCACAGACATCCTGCTGTGTCTGCACTCAGGGGTTTGTGTGTACAGTAAGAGTGAAAGCACAAAGAGCTAAAGTCTATGTATTTATGTTTATCTATGTGAGTGTGTGGACTTCAAAAATGTCTACGTGCTCTTTAAGTTTCTATTTTTGAATGTGCCTCCTTGTTGCAGTTTGTGGGTGGGGAACGCCGTACTATAGGCCCAGGGCAGGCCAATGAGGGCTTTGATCTAAGCCAGGCTTCATATGGATTTAATTGGCTGGGAAGTAATTATATAGTAGGAAAAAATGAGGGAAGGAGAAGTGGAAGAAGCAGGGTAGTAAGTAGAAGAGAATGAAGGGAAAGTTAGGATGTCACTCCAACTTCTACAAATAGTTTTCAGTGTGACTAAAACAACATTTCCTTCTGCTTCTGTCTCCATTTTCTGTGTCCCTCTCACACATACAACCACATAAACAAACACTGTCACTCCGGCATTTCACAAGACAGGCAGAAGGAAACTCACTTGGTCTTGGCGACGAGCAGAGTGTCGGTGAAGAGGAAGAGGTGTCTCTCCTGGGTCTGCAGGCCCGTCTTTAGCTGGGTTTGGGCGTGACCCAAGAACAGGCGGCCTGGACACTCGGCCAGGAAGGCCTGGACAAGGGGACACGACTCAGGGCTGACTGGCGTCAGGCAGCTTTCCCTGGGGGACAAAACCAAGACAACACAGAATGAAATACTCTATCAAAACCCAAAGGAGAAATTTGTGGTCTGGATGTGTTTGGAACAACAGGTCTGGAAGCCCAGCGTTGGCTGTGGTTGGGCTCAAATTCTTTTTAAGTCCATCAACAACTACTGCAAAGCAGAGCAAACCACTGAGCTCCTGGATGGTCTAAAGCAGCTGCTATGGATGAGAGATGTAAAATATTCAATTCAATTTGTGTTTGATATTTTTTTGCTCCGGTCACATTTATACTCATTGTGGGTTCATTTTTTTCCTGCTCTATAAAGTCCTGCACCTCGATGGAAACAGCACAACCATGACTAGAAGCAGAAAACTGTCTTTGTCATAGTACAGGAAGTTATTTTAACGTAAATCATAAAAAATGATCAAATGTTTGTGTGTGTTAGCAAGACTGGAAAAATTGTGGCTTCACGTAGTGTAGATTTTTTACTCATTAAATGTATTATTTGTTTCCATACTTGACCTATCTCTACGGTGGAAACACAGCCTGCAATTCAGCCGAGTTTTTGTCATGTGACTGTTAGTCGCAGCTGAGTCAAACATGGCTTTTCATTTGTGCCAAGGAGCAGAAAATATTTTTGTTTTTTAGTGAATCTGGTTTATGCAACCTGATAAATTGTGTAACTGCAGGTTTTTGGAAAGATAATACGAGTTACAAACCTGTCAATGAGTTTTGGGGGATTCAGAGGATTGAGACATTGTGGAGCTTTTTTTTTACTTTTCCAGCCTGAATGATTCAGACTTTTTTGTTAAACCAGGCTCCTCTAACCTCTGAGCACCACGATGAGCCTCGCGAAGCCTCAAGAACAAACTGTGAGAGCGCAATTAAGTCAGAACACGCATTAACTCAATGGGATGTAATTTAAACATTAGCCCTTTAACTTGGATTCCCGCTGGGAAAGCGTTAAGGCAGAAAATGTAAGCCTGGAAACATGAAAGCAAAGTAATAAAATCTCAGTAAACATTGAAGAGACCCTCCTGAGTTTGAGGTTTGGAGCCAAAACTTTGTTACAGAAAGTGAACCGCTAAAGCTGAAAAACCCTGAACATTTTGTACTGAGCTTTATGCTGAACACAAGATCAAAACTTTACCAATATAAACATACATCTGGTTAGTCCTATGTTCTCCTTCATTCCAGTGTTTTTACTACTCATGCCGAGTGTGAAATAACATCATCAAGCAGCCAATCATGTAACTAAAAACATGAGGCCCATATAGTGATGAACCGAACCTGGGCAAGGCTGCGAAAAGGCTTCAGTGTCCAAACAGCTTGTGCAAATTACAGTTGAATATTCATCTCATTATTTTCCTCATTTTGTTTCCTGATTCCTCACAGTTGCATCCACACATGTAAGCAAGCGCTGTCACTAAAATAAATATTAAGCTTTTAGGCCTCCGGCGCAATTGTTTGGCTGCAAATCATAAATTATGTTGCATAAGCCACTTGGAGAAATCTGTTAGGGATTATTTGCATGTTTTAGATCTGCACAGAGATAGTTCTGGTATGATAAACAGTGGAAATACAGATGATCCTGCCAGCATTAGTGCAACTTCTGCTCGTATGTATGAAGTAAATAGCGAATGAATTTTGTCTTGTTTTTCTGCAGACTTTTGTCCAGTCTGGCGCTTTTATTTGTCATTTGTTTGTCGTTTTATTAAAGCACTTTTTAAGGACTGACTTGAAAAGTTCAGTCAACAACACTTGCTTTTCCGTGACAAAAATCGCTTAGAATTTTGTTTTTGCTGCCTATTATCTGCTGTCAATATGTCTCGCTGATGGACACATGTAAACAGGGGAGGGTTTTTTAGAGGAAGAGGAAATCATTTGAGCGCTCCATCCTTTCCTGTTTATCCTTCAGAACCAGATAAAAGCCCAAAATCTCCACTTGTATGCACATTTTCTATCTTTGCTCTGCTTTTCTGTGTCTCTTTCATGTACACAAACATGTGCCCTCTGCTCTCTAATGCATGTACACACCCTCTGCTTAGAATGGTTTCTTTTTTTTTTTTTTACTTCTTAGACATGAACATCCTTGATGCCTACAAGGACACACACACAAACACACGACGCTGTTCACCTCCATAGCAAAGCTCAGAATAGTCGTCCACATTCTCTGATACACTGAAATCCTTCCAGCCACATTGCATAAGTGAATGGTTATGTAATTAATTAAGAGAGAACAGACAACTGAGCTGGAGTGCTTCCCTTTTTGTCTTTGTCTGTCTTTGTGTGTCATCCAAAAATAAATTCAAAGGGGTCTGAGTAAATTCAATTTAATCCAACAAATGATGCCAATAAAGCGCTGATGCTCTGTGGGACACATTGTCCTAAAAGATCAGGGTTTGGAAACTCTGAAACTTTCTAAAAACAGTTAATAGATTGGGTTTTGAGGACTAAATTTTGACTATGATGATTATTTTTACTTTCTAAATAAAGTAAAGGCACATTTCCTGTTTTGATGTTAATCCCTTCAGCATAGGATATGTCTCAACTTTTCCCCCTTGGCTTTATCCAATATTCTTGAAAAAAGTGTACAAAATTTGCAGACTTTTAGCATCAAAGGCTCCTTCTTGGATCCTACATGGCAGCAACTTAATGTTACATCACGTGCCACTGCAGGGGGGTTCTCAGCTCAGGCCTGAAGACCACTTTTCTGGGGTTTCTTGATTAAGTTGTGCTGGGATTAACACCATCACTGTGGAAAACTCTCCGAATTTTCCGTTGAGTTTATCAACACATTCTCCTCTTGTGCTTCTAAGTCAATGCAGATCTGGGAAACCTGTCAGAAGAGGCCACACACACACTGACACACACACGGACAAACCTTCCTGTAAAGGCTCTTTCACATCTCACTGCCCCAAAAAAAGGACAACATCTTCCGTATTCACCGCACATCCCTCCCTCCTAAATGTGAGATTGACAGCTGAGCCGGCTGCCCTTTGAATCTGATGGATGAACAGCTAATGGCTCCATTGTGCATCATGTGATGTTGATAAATTGAGAGCCCAACCCGTCCGCCAATACATGGCCACCTTTGTCGCAGGGAGAACTGTTGACTTTTTGGAACACAATGAGAGGCCGGCGCACAATGAACCGCACAACACGGCATACTAATGTCTGAGCATGAATATTTAAGCAGCACCGGGCAAGATTCGGATACAAAGGTCGAACATTTTATCTGCATAAGTCACAGCGTAGAAGTCTGACAAATCAGTTTTAGTTACTCAACCCAAAATGACAAATTTATCCAAGAAGAATCGCCAATTTTAGACTCCTGAGAGGCAAAATCATAATCCTACAAAGAAAATTCCAATTGAACTACAACACTGTAGAGGTACAGATGGACCACATTATGAAATATGAGGAGAGTTGAGTCAGACACTGTTAAATTGTTATTTTCTCAAATGATAAACCAGCAACAGAAAGAAATGGAGGGAAACAGGTGGAACCACAAGCCTGATGCATCATACCTGGTTTGTGAATCAAATATTCACACAACGACTCACATCTGACTCACTGAGTAAATTCTGGAGAGTGAAATGAGAAAGAGAAGTAAAGTCTTAGTCACAGATGCAATTATGATCTAACAGCTGTAAGTGCTACAAAGCAGAGGACAACATCTGGACAAACAATGTTTACTTTCCCTTAATCTTGCCTTGACTCATTTTTATTTTATTTTATTTTTTAGCTTTCTTTTGCTCCTTCAGTTTCAGTTTCATCAAATTTACAAAACATCACTCCACAGCTTATTAACCCACAGGAACCCAAAACCTGCCAATGGTTTTAAGAGTCAAGCATTTAAAAATGTCCCCATTTATCAAAACCCAAACTCTAAAAGCAGGAAGAATCTGATTTTCAACTTTCTGATAGTCCTTGAGTTACTCATCTGTGGCAAATCTAAGCTTAAAATTGTTCTCTAGATTACTCTACGAGATTCTGTAAAAAGCAAAAACTCTGCACTTGTTGACAACCGTGACACAATTTGTGACTCATCAGTGACCAACAGTCACTTTTTGGCTGAACTGGGCTGAACTGCAGGTTGTGTTTACACAGAGCAGATAGAAGAAAGTAAAATGTAGGTAGTAAAATACTTGCAGTATGTAGAATCACCATTTTTTTTCTAGTATCAGTAACATGATGTGCATGCTGATTCAAGGTTTTTTCAATATTAGTTTAAAAAAAAATCATCTAAGAAATTATTTTTTTCTTCTAACTTATGGCATTATAACTGTGCCACACTATGCAAAAGACATTAAGACATCTCTCTACTTCTAGTCATGGCTGTGCTGTTTCCATAGAGGTGAAGGACTTTATGTTGCAGTGAAAAATGAGGCCGCAGCAGTTAAAGTGTGACAGGAGCAAATAAAACAATCAGAAAGCGGTTAGGGTTCAGAGGGTTAATATAATTTGAATCTGTTGCTGGGTTGCTATGGAACAGTGAAGCGTCACCTCAGCTGTCAAACAGTCAAACCCTGACGAACAGACGGAACAGACGGAGTGCCTCGGGCAGAAATGGCACACTTATGTAACTGTATCCATCTGTTCTGCTTTGTTATTAACAATGAAAAGACCTATGAGTCCATATTTATGTGTCTTCCCATATAATCAGTGTCATTAGTTTGTCTGCAGCTGAGTTGCCTCCGGTGCCAAATGTAACTCCGAGGCCACCAGCACATTTTTAGTTTTTTTATGGCCCCAATCCAAAGCAAACCAAGAAGGATGGCAGCAATAGAAGAAACCTTCAGCTCTGTGCTTCGTTTCTTATGCAACATGTGAACTCTGACCGGAAATTAAAAAAAACACAGTAAAAGAGGAGTCAGGAATTAATCTGAGGAGAATAAAGTCAAAGTGTGAGTGCCAGCCTGTGTGTGTCCCCTGTTGAACTCTAGTGTATGTGTCTGCATAGGGAGGATTGCATGAGCAGCAGTCTGACCTCTTTCTCCCAGATAAAGCTTCTACAGACAAGCAGAGATTGACAAAGTGTCTGTTAACATGCAGATTCAAGAAGACGTCATTTCGCACAGACACACACCAGTCAGTACCATCTCCTCAGTGCACAGTGGTGACTTCTGTTCACTACTGACACAAAACTGCAGAGTGCATGACGATAAGGACTCATTTTACTTTTCTGAACTTACAGTCCACCTACACTTATAAGTAAATTATTTTTTTAAATAAATTGTAAATCGCACTGCTATGATTAGTTAGCATATGCTTTTTTTAAACATACACTACTACTCTACTTCATTATGATACACATTAGGGCTATGAACAGTAACTTAACTAAGGCAATAATGTAGGTAAAACCCTACAGTATTGTAAATTAAAGATCTTGAGCTGACTAATCTTAATATCAAGGCTAAGATAAGGTATCATAGTTCTGTCCGAGGTGCTAAAAGAATCCAACAACACCAAAACTGCAGGCAGATTTTTAGAATCCAACTGATTCTCTGTCACTTTCCTGCTTCCACTTCCTCCTGAACTGCCTGCATTTCCATAGATAAACTATAATGTCATCCCTGGCTGACACACAATGCTCTCTATACAGCCAGAGGACAGACACACAACACAGACACACACTGAGCATGAGGTCAGAATACTGAAACTCTTCCCCTTTCTTTCAGTCTGTAAAAGCAGAAGTGACCAGCGACTGTCAGCCATGATATCCTTAGCAGAAAACCAGGAAATGTCTTTTGCATGACGCGTATGTCTTCTCGTATTTGTCATTTTTGAGCACCAAATGTCCTCAAACCAAAAAAAAAAAGAAATCAAAGAGAGCTTAATGCTTAAGTGAGGACTCAGGTTTCAGGATGAGATCAGAATCGGGATTAAGCAAATACAGTAATATCCTGACGAGTGTATTAATAAAACATGTCTGTCTGCAAAAAAGGTGTGAGACGAAGGGACGGAGCGCCTGCTTGAGTGTGTGCGTGCATTTAACAGTGAGTATGTAAATGTATATCCGCGCTTTAGATTGCTGTCAGTTTACAGATGTGTTGTTTCCATCAGGTGTTTTTACATTTGTCATGTGTGTGTGTTGCTTTGTTGTGACACTGTGGCTGGTAGCAAGTCAGAGTGTGAGGTCAGGAGTGTCAGCCAGTCATATGTTTTTATGTTTTATGGTGCAGCCACCCTCCTCCACGATGTATGGATTTCACTGCCGGAGGGGGGGGGAGGCAGGCTCACACCGCAGTTTACACCCATAATGCCCTGCACTGTGAGCCCGGAGGCTGAGCGATGAGGTTATGCTTCTGGATGAAGTGTAACAGTTTGTGTGCGGAGGTGATGTAAACGGCTGAGCTGAGGTCCAGAGACCCTTTCAGCGCCTCTCGGCCTGATGGGAAACGCAGAGCGGAGACGGAGTCATCTCAGAGATAGAGGGGGAAAAATGGAGGCTGTGAAATAAAACTCCCTCTTGCAAAAAAAAAAAAAAGGCAACAATCCAAACGCATATAAACTGAAAGATTTGATCATATATGGAATATTTTAATAAATCCTCCATTGTTTGGTTCCATGCTCGAGGCTTTGGCTTCATCGTGGCATTATTATTTTAACAAGCAACACTGAGAGCTGAACCAGTTAAACGTGGAGGAAAGAAAAAAGGGAAAGAGCAACAAGAAGTGAGAGGAAAAAAAAACTCAAATCAAAGTCAGGGGAGCATTTCACTTTGTAAGTAGCTGCTCTGTAGGGACGCAATCAGTGATTTTTTTAAATCTGTAGATTATTTTAGTTTTTCCAAAAGCCTAAGATGATGTCAAATGTTCAGTTTCTTTTGCCATCGAGGAGTAAAAAAAATGTTACTTACATTTTTTGATATTGTTGATATCTTTAAAAAGAAATCTTACACAGTTAATCACAGAATCAGAACTATTTAATTCTGCAAACACAAACTGATTGCTAGCTGAAATTGGGAATAATGAGGGAAAAAATGACCAGAATGTCGAGCTCAATAAAAAAATCCTTTAAATAATTAAGATATTACTCTAGCCATCAGAAAAAACTGGACTTACTTTATGATATCGAAAACAATCTTGCATGACTGTAGCTAACAGCTGCTCAGTTCCATGTGGTCAAGATGAAAGAAGCCGTGTGGCTTTGTGGTTGTCACCATTTCAATATGAGTCCACCAGTTGCTCTGCAAATCAGAGCTCCTCTCCTTAGAAAAGATCTTTATCGTGAAGCCGCCTTTCCCTGATTTCAATACAAGAATGTCAATTTGTAAATGTGGAAAGTGTTCAAAACTTTAAAAGCTGCTCAGTAGGAAAAGCAGACGCAGCATATTTGTTTCTTTCCCGTCTCTGCAGCAACCTGAGCCATTGTGATTTACTTGGATAGAGAGCACATGAGTGATGCAATGATGTGCAAAGCGCGGCCAGAAACTGCTGGCACTGCTGAGAAACCCATTTTAACTGCATTTCTGGGGCTTTAGGGTTTTATAGAGCAGCTACCAAAGCATGCATACGGTTTAATATATACATACATCATCTACCATCACGACCTGCACCTACTGAGAGTCATACAAGCGCTATAACTTCACTCCTGGTAGCATCCGGACATTAATGAACACCTCACACACGCTCTGACATGGGAGGCGCTGACCTGACATGACCTCCACCGGCCCCCCCAAACCTCCTGATGTGAGGTCAGAGGTTAAGGGTGACAGCTGAGAGTGTCAAGTCCTGACTCCACACCTACTTTTACTCCACAAACACACAGACACTGCTCAGACTTGGACGGGCTAAGTGACTCGGCCTCTGTTTGTCTTTCACTCAATACGCTGCCTGTCTCACCCTCGAACTGCAAACACAATATGTAGGTTCCAACTTTCTTGCCCCGAGAGCATTGACCCATTTAACAGTGTGGAGCGTTTTCCCATCAGCACTAGTCTAAGTGGAGGAGTTTCACAGTTCAGAATACTGCCGTCCATCCTGACATCCCTCCACAAACTGCCCGCATGTGCAGCAAAATCATGTCCTTCAGCAGGAACACATCTAGCTCACTGGGGAAATTATCATGGCATAAAAACCTAGATTTCAAAGCCTGGAAGTGCTTTGAGGACAAGCCTTTCTCAAACTCCCAAAAAAACACAGTACAAAGAGTTAAACAAAGTTTCTAGTAAATAAATACTCTCCCCAAAGGGCTTGTAATGGCTTATTTCCGAACCCTGTTAAAGGAAGAGGAAGGGACCGGAGTGATACGAGGGTGATGAAAAGCCTGATAGCTCTGGGAGGCGTTCAAAGCTCTGCATCGAATCAGTCAGGAAAGACAAGCTCTTAATTCTAGGGCAAGGTGGGAGGTATATTCAGCATATTTGAATCGCGTGAAGACATTTAAGCTTCGTCATTTGGAAAGCTGTATTTGACAGACTTGAGATTTACAACCACCGGCTTCCACATTGGTGCGCTACACATCCAGATTTTCCAGTTAGTCTGGTGATTTTATCTTTAGGCCTCCCAGCTTCACTTTTTTCCCCTTCTCTAATCTCTATGCGATCAGCCACTTAAATCTCTGAACCAGTGTTTTCTGGGCAAATTCGGCGAAAAAAAATTGAAAGTTTATAAGTCAGTGCACGTGTCTATTAAGAGTATTTGAGTCTTTAGTGGCTGAGCAAGTATTATTAAGTAGGCTGCAACTACAGATGGTAGGAAACGGATTTTCGTCTACAAGTTAAGTGCTACTAAACAGACTAAACAAGCGTCATCGTGGAGGAAGATAAACAAGAGGTTTTTCATGCCAAATAAGTACCAAATGTTTCCACAGAACAAGGAAGAAACTGGGAGGAATTCAGGTTTGAGCGAACTCTGAAGTTGCAGTAAAACTCTTTCCTCTCTGCAGCATCTGTAACCACATCCACTGATAGAAATCACTGCTCCTCTGAGGAACCACAGGTGTCACAACCACAGCAGCTCTATATTATGGAAGCATTGCAGATACCTGGACGTGCTTCTCGATCTGGTAAGTGCTTTGCTGATGACCAGCGATGGAGCTGACTGTCGTCTCTGGGCCAACGTCTTCATCTTCTACAGAGAAAAAGAAACAGAAAAGGGGTCAATGAAAAGCACTGAATCAAGGTTTGCACTCTGGTCTTCCATGATTTTTTTTGCTTTATTTTAGAAGGAGATGGAAGCACTGAGGTCAGCACTGCTTGAGGCTGCTTGTTGGCTGTGGTCAACGCAGGAAATACAGGATTTAAGAGAAGTGGGAAGACTGACAGAAAAGGAGAAGCGACAGCAGTGAAGAAGGAAGAGATGAAGTGGGCTAAATGGTTAAATATGGAGGAAACGCAGAAGGGAACTGAATTAGAGAAATGTAAGAGTTGTGTAATGTTTATGGTTGTTCATATATCCTCGCTGTAACCTGATCGACTGTACGCTTCCCCCACAGAAGTATGACAGGCATCCTGGTGGCTGCCGCAGCTATTTCAATTAAACCTAATCTATTTACAACATACCAAAAACCATGTGAGCACATCCCACCCCCACCGACATACAAGACAGTTATTCAATGTGAAAAACGTTCCCCAAAAAGAAAAAAAAATCCCAAACTAGCAACACAAATTAAATAAGACTTCGCTTCTTGAACTCATATTGCAATGACTTATGGGTAACATTCCTCTCTTATTAGATATAAAAGACAAAATTACTATAATCCGGCAGAAAATGTAACATGATGTGCATCATGAACCAGCTCTCCAAGTCCTTCACAACTATATTATTACATTTTTTGGGCTGGTGTAGTTGCGTTATATAATAATATGGTGAGTTTTTCATTAGTTTCATGTAAGAAACTGATCCAGTTGTGAGTCAGTTGTTTCCACACAATTTCTTCCTTCTTTTTTTTTCTCACATTATTGCACATTTTCTGTAAAATCAGGCCTGAAAGCGGCAATAACATTCAGAAGCTTGCTTTTCCCAACACACTGACAGGAAAACTCTCCACATGGCACATGAAACAACAAGGAAGAAACTTGTGAAAAAGAAAAACAGAGCCCTGATGTCTCACATTATGCTGACTGTCTGCAAATGCCAAAAAGGAAGCCTGGACTGCAGACGCTACCTTAAAAAAAATGCCTGTGTTATCACTGAAGGCGACGCAGCAGTACAAACACATGCCATGTACCTGTCATGCACAACACGTACAGCACAACATGAACACTTTGACACAAGCATTTTACAGTTCATTGTTGAGTCATTCTCAAGCTAAGTTTCTCTGCTATGGCTGACACCTCAGGTCTCATAACTACCCAAAGCTGAGCACAAAAATGCACAAATTGTTGCAAATCAGGCCAAAGTGCAGCATAAAAAAAGAGCTACAGCAACAATATTTGTAGATCCACGAGGCCATTCGTCACTAACAACAAGCGCAGCAGGCCTGGAAAGTGGTGAAATACTTACAAAAACACTACATGTTCTGGTAGAAAAACACGAGAAACTGCATTCTGCTGCCAAAAAGTGATGTATTGGGTTGAAAGAATTGGAGGTTAACGGAGTTTCAGTGCTTGGAACTCTACTGGTGCACTTTTTCCAAGTATCTGCATGAGTTTTCCTGTTAATCTGGGGATCGGTTTAGTGAGTTTGTCAATAAAACTGCAGGGTGTTACAGCAGAAAAGCAGATTTTATTATAATAACAAAAGGTTTATGCGAGGGTATCACTCCTGATGTTTGTGTTGGAAATGAAGTCATGAACTGAGGGGTTACCAAAGATGTAGATGCACAGACAGCTTTTGAACACCTGCTGGAGGGGGGCGCTGTTTACTGCAAGTTGAATGAGCAGCAGCTGAGGAATCACCTCCTCTATCTGCCTGCATACAGGCAGTAATTGCAGTGTAGAGGAATACAGTGACTGCAAAGGCAGTCACATGTGAAATTATGTGTTTTATGTTTTCTTTTTGTTTGTTTGTTTTATTTCAGCCTAAACTTAGAGAAGCCAAGCAACTGATGTCGTGGAGCTGCAAAAAACAGAAACATTCCTGTGAGTTTCTGCTGGGACTCCTACTTTTAAAATCAATAAATAATCAAAAACAAAAACAGCCCTTTGACTCCTCAGTTCAACTACATATTGGGTCATTCAGCATAACCTCAAAATCTGGTTTAAAAAATGTGAGGATTAGGCGATTTTCTTGGAGACAAACTTGTATAATTGAGTCAATCTTGTAGCATTATTGCAGATTTTTTTTTTGTTTAGTTCACATAGTTTAAATTGTAGTATTCCCCAGTGTGCACAGCGCATTCAAACGAAAAGAGCGAGAGAAAAAATGACCAAACCAATGAAAAGTGCTGAATCTGGGATTAAGGTCCAATACTACAAACGTAAAGATAACATTTAAAGCACCATCTTTTCGTTAAAAACACAACCATGGAAGAGTGACTACAAAGCTCACTCCACAAACAACCTCATCATTGTCCAGTCAAAACAACTGATCTCAACTTTACGCACAAAAAACAACTGAGATTTAAAAAATCCATCACTAACTTGTGGAAAATAATGCAAGCAAAGTCAACAAACCGAGGATATATTAGAGGAAAGTCTTAAAATAAGACACATAAACTGAACGTGCTTGCAGGTACATCATAAGGAATAAGATCGAGGTGCCCTAAACTAGCGGTTTTACTACTCCCAAGAGAAGAATTACAATTTATTAGCTTATGTTCCTTAAAGAGTGCACCGGGAAACGCTGTGCGTAAAAGCGCACAGACCAGGACAGAACCAGTCAATCCTCCATCAGCACCGACAGTCACTGGTACCTTTTTGTTGTCGGGAAGCGCCTTGCTGTCTCCCGTCAGAGAGTCGGACCTGTTCTGTCCCATGGTCCCCTGCTGCGGTGACATGGTTTCCATCAAGGCTGTATAGATCCACGGTATATTCCCATGATACGAGCGTAAAGCGGAAAGTTTATCCTGCGGAGAGGAGCGCAGGAGTCCGGGGAGAATCCATGATGGTGAGGAGTCGATCCGGAGGAAGAGGAGGTGAAACGTGCGCGTTAAAGTCCGCTCTGTGATTCTCTGATCTGAGCTCTGTTTGCTCTGAGCGCTCAGACTGCGAACCGCCTCATCTGACTGCACTCATGTCAAGTTAGAGGGGAGGCGACAGAAGACTTCCGCTGTCCCTTTTCAAAGTAAAACCGTCTGACGTCAGTGTGTGATTTGAAGAAACAACATGAAAACAAAGAGTGTAAAATAAAGATAAAAGGATGTATTATTTACAATCATCAGCAGGGTTTATTTAAAATGCAAAAAAATAAAGTAGTTGTAGTGGAGCTCTTTACTCTATCTTCTCCAGTGTGATTGACCATGTAGTCTGACCCCAACCTCCTAACTAGCTGGCAATATGCAAAAGACTGCATTATGTTGTAGTCAATGCAATAAGAGTAAAATCTTTTCTTAAACTTACACTAAAAATGATCAAAGCTGTGATCTCAGAGTGCAAATGACCTTAAAGGTCCACGGCATGAACACCGGACAAAAACGTAAACACAGCATGCAAATAGTCTTTTTTGTTTGTTTGTTTTTGATTCTGTTGCTCAGGTTAGAAATGGCTTAAACTTGTCCAAGGTGTGGCTTTAAAGGACACTGATCAGAAAGCGTGACCAGCACACAGACACTCCATTGATCAGTGAAAGGCCATTAAGTTCAAACTCAAATGACACTTTGATCCCTGAGGTCCTCTTATGGGTTGTTCTTGCACTAACTGTAACTAAGTGTTTTTCTGTTCTTATAACTGTTTGGGGTTATCAGGAACACCCATGGCATCCAGTGTACTCCTGGGTTACGTAAGGCTGCATCCAAAACGGCATACTTTAATATTTTGTTATTTCGAGTCCTTGGCCCACCAGAACCCAAGCGCCCATTCTATATGTTGTTTTTTTTTTTTTCGTTGCACTGTGGTAGAATCGTTTTTTTTTTTTCTTGCATCCTAATGTGGGAAAAAATAAATAAAATACTTGTAAAGTATGTTATTCTGCACTTCTAACACATTTGAAAATTTCTGACCATTTATCTGGCTTGTGTGACCTCTCTTCACTTATGTGTATGAGTATCTAGTTTACGATTTTTGCATGACAAAAAGCAGTTAAATCAAGCATTTGCAAGTTATTTTGTGATTTGTAGCAGTTTAAAGGTGCAAGTTTAATTTCTGAAAATAATTTTATATCTGCATTTTGGTCATCTGGTTAATTTCTTCTTATATGTGATAAAAAAAAAAAAAAAGCTTTTCTTTTTTTCCCCCGTACTTTATTTACAAGGACTCCAAATTTGGCCCTTTTATTTTGAAAACGAGGGGTAACCTCTGGACAAATCCCGACGTAACCTGCGCTCCTTGACGCCGCTCATGTACCTGAACGCATGCTTTGGTTTAAACTCTTGAGCTCGTCTGTGTGTACGTGTGGTTTTACGTGAAGGGCCCATCATGTGTTTTCTTTGTCTGGCAGTCGGTGCCACATAGAAGCCGACTGTTCTTGTACTACAGGAATGTGGTTTGCAGAGGGTCCAGTCCAGGTGTAAGAATGTTCTCCAGGGCCAAGAATAACATGAGTGATGAGGAGGAATGTCCACAGTATTTTTTTCTGCATAGGCATGACGCATGACACGTTTGACTTATAGCTGCAGCTACAGTGCACCTCACTGTAGGAAACCTTCCTGAGTGGGTGAAGTGTTTACTTTTAAAAGTCTGAAGGTAACTGGAGAGAGAGCACACCTCCGTCGGAGCTAAAGTTAAACTGATTTGTTGAGCCGGAGTGCTGAGTTTTTTGGATTTTGCACCAAGTCTTTGTGTCCAATGGCGTCACAGTTGGAGTTTTGATATAACAGAGAAAACTGGAAGTGAGTAACCTTGTATTAACAGTTTTCATTATCTTAAATGAAGCTACACAAATGTTCCAAAGCTTAAAACATAACCTGACAGGATAATTCCAAACAGCAGGCCACTGTCTCCCCTGTACAAACACAAAGGTATGCAACAATTGTTCCATCTTATCTGACCTCTGAAAAGTGGCCTGCATAGGATGATAAGGACATTGATAGCGCTCGGCCGTCCTCTTTGATCATGTCACAAACCGCATGAACCAACAGCAGGAAAATACTGGCTTCTGTCTGCAGAATGACTCCGATGCTTGATGCACAGAAAACAACATTCCTCCACTCAGTGACTAAATCATCTTTTCATCAAGGGCCGAGCAAGGCCAAGTCACACTTATTCTTGAAATAAAACTGCATTTCATATTTGAAGGGTTAAATCGCTTCTTTTGTTTCCTGCTGGTTGGAGGGATCCGAAGCAAAAAAAAAAAAAAGACTTAAGTGAGGGTGTGTCAGAAATGTGGTTGGAAACACCACTGGTTGACCATGACTGCTTCTGCGCTGCTGCACTGTTTTGTTTCTGCCTCCTAAATGTTCCACTCTGGTAGACGTTGGGGTTGCAACAATAATAAAAAAAAGTGTCTTGGAGTGGTTTATTCTTTCGGTATCTATGGCAAAAACAACACGTTTCTACACAATAACTTAGAAAACACGCATTTTATTCAGCCCAGAAACCCAAAGTGGGTCACACACCTCGCAGCCAAAAGACTCCAAGATTCTCCTCATGCCTGAACCGAGCTTGGCCAAGTGACTTTTGGTCAAGGGAGAAATAGGAAGCCTTAATCTGCAGCTAGTAATTCCTCCCCCTCAAATGAAAGACAGAGAATCAATATGTGTCCTTGTGAATATCATCTGACATTTCCTTTGAAGTGTGTCTGAAAGGGAATGTCTCCGTCACGCCCGGGGAGGCAGGCTATTGAAAAACCTGAAGCCGAGGAGAGTATCGACTTGGACGGCAAACAGTCGATTCCAGAGAGAGAAAATGAGCTGGAGACGGTCCAAAGTTCTGACAGGAGCAGCACATGAAGGATCTGTTCTTGTCCTGTGGAGGGTTTGGGTGTTTCTGCTGTACTTTGCACTGTAAACATGCACAGATTTACCTTCACTTGACATAGTTGAACGTCTATTTAAAAAGCGCACATGCAAACGAGTGCATGCAGGCAGGTTGATGTGAGGCCACAGGGATGTGATGAGCGGTTGATGGAGGGAAAAATGTGTGACGGATGACAGAGATGCTTCAGGCAGATGGGGAGTTGCTGTGACCCGAAGCGTGGACGCCTCCACCTCCTCCACCGCCGCTGCCCACACTGTCGCTGCTGCTAATTTAAGAAGCCAGACTTCCACGTTGCCTGCCAAAAATAAAGGCCCACTGTTTCCTTTTTTTCCCCCTGAACAACGTAACTCAGAGGTTTCTGGGCGACAAATGTTTGAGGTATGGCTGTACAAATTCTGGAAAAAATGACACCTGGGTCAGAAACAACTTTCTTTTTTGGACATTTTTCTAAACCTAGTGCTGTAAGACTCTACTCTCTTGACACCCAGTGGTTTCAAACGACATTGTACAGCTTCAGAATACCTAAAAATTCCACTATTGTACATTACTTAACTGTTTTCTGCATCTTATCTGTCCTTTTTCTTAGTTTATCCATATTTCCAAAATGCTTAATCTGAAAAAACTTAACCAAATTGTTCGTTAGGAACCTTACAAACCTGCCAACTTCAACAACAAACTCGTCTGTTTTGCCAGGCCTTCTGCAAAGTTACCTGAAAAATGACATTACATGCGATTTGGAAGAGTCACTGCATACTTAACTAATCAAACTTTTTACAGTACAGCTCAATCAAATAAGGCATCAAGTCAAAAACATGTCATATTTCTTTCTTTAACAACTGGTTGAAGATGCAGTCTGTCTGTATTTTGTACTGACCAACCACAGCTACCCTCAGCTCAGTTTGTGAATGCAGCAGAATATCAAAAGTCTTCAGCGCTGAACAAAACCAGCTGATTCTGAATTCTGAGGTTTGCAAGTCAGCTGAGAAGACAGAACATATAAATAAGACAACCTTAGAGCTACCAGGAGCTCTTTTATTAGAACTGTATGCCTCCATTCACCTCTATCCCCTGTAAAAGTCTAACACTGTCATAAATTACTGTAAAAATACAACCACATTCTCACATGCTGTTCAATGCTGTGAAAGCTGGTGCTTTTTGGAGCCAGAAACAGGAATAACAGACAACAGCAGACTACTGTCAAGATTTATGGTGTGAATTGAACAAAATGTTTTGTGCAAAAAGCACTGTTTAGACCGGCCACTTGGTTTAGGCAGCTAAGAATAGTAGCTTCACACGGATCCCATGAGATTGGCTGTTAAAAAAAAAACACATCTTAAAAGAAGAAAACGTTGTAATTTACAGGTAATGCTGTGTTTCAGTGGTAAAAGTAGGTAAATACAGTATGTTAAGGGAAAGTCCTGTCACAGCATCAAACAGTAAACCTTCATATTCTACTGTAGAGTTTTGTAATTTATCATACATTATTTTTTCTTGTAATTTCACAGGCCAATGTTTTTTTTAAAGCTGTCTCCGTAAAATGTGGAGAACCCAAACTTATCAATCTTGTCTCACTTTGCCAAACGTATCACATATCGTTAGCCTCATAGCATAATTGCCTAAGTCATTTTTTGGTCAAATTGAGATATTTGCCTAACTTTACTCTCCTATCACTTCTGCATCATCCTGTCTTTCTACCTATGTCATTGGCCAATCACATCTGGTTGAATGGACTGTTAAAAAAAATCAATAATAAATACCAATGTCATTTCTAAAAATTGTGTTTTTTCACATTTCCCAAAAACATGAAAATATGACTTAGGTAAGTATGCTATGAGGCTAACAATATGCAGAATGGTGTGAGTGCCCCCTCTATCATCCTGCTATAGTGGGACGTGTAGCTGCTCGACAGATTTTGCTGCTGTTGTCGTTTGCTGTGGCGAAAGAGATTCGCAAAACGGTTTCACACAGATAGCAAAAGCTGCATTTAAAGCAGAAAAGAAATGGTGTGTACCCAAAGAATACATGAGTTAGATGAATCAAAAGCAAATCGCAAACCGAAATGTACAAAAACCCAAAGTACCACTAGCAGAGCATATGGGATTAGTAATGCACTTATTGA